TAGACCCGAGCTACTAGTGCCACTAAGCCACGGAGGTGACAAGACGTTGGTTTTCAAAACACCGGCCACAGGCTTGGTAATCCCCATGGCTGGTGTTTCTGGGGTTCAATGCAGTCACAAGATTTAAAAGATTTCTTTTTTTTTTTCTTGACCATAACACTGAAAATGGCAAAAATGAGAGCTGTGGGGTTCTTTCATGTGTCCCTTTACCCAGCTCTAGGAGGCTGCCATACATATGCTGTAAATTTTATATAGATAAACTTGTATGTAGGAATATAGAAATACAGGTATATGGGCATGTAGATAGAATATTTTTGTATATATTATCTATATAGATGATATGTAGATATAGAGACAGAGATATATCTATCTATATATAGATATATGTATATATATAGAGAGATATGATTAGATATACAGATATGTAAATATATAAATATTTACATATATAGATAAAACTATCTCTGGGCAAGGAAAGTAAGGATCAGGGGCAACAAAGTTCTTTAAATGCAAGGATCAGAGAGAACTCAACATCCCTTGCCTGTCTACAATGGCAAGAAGCAGCCCAGGTGTGTAAGTAACATCAACGTGGCTTTGCCTGAAGCTTGAGCTTTGCCGGGAAATTCTACCATTGAGCTGAGCGATAAATGCTGATTCTTTCAGGGTTTTCACTCTTTTGAGGTGGAATGAATTTTGGGAAGTTGCTGACACACCTAAAACTGAGCTCTTGTTGGGCTGTGCTGAGATGATCTCAGGAAAGCAAAAGAGAAGAGCTGCCACGTGAATGAAATCCTAGTCCATGTGATTGGTGAGACTTTTGCTGTTAAAGTCTGTGGAGGCAGGATTTAATACACTGATTTATGAGGACCACTCCCTGCCTTAGGGACCCTCGTTGCTGGCCAGGTTGTACACTGGGGTTTACACTAGATAGCAAATTCCAGTGATAACATCATCCTAGGGACTTCAGAGGCACCAAATAAACGGCAAGTCAAGGGGATAAGGAACAGCCGAGAGTTAACACGGAGGATATTACTTGATTAAGTTAAGGGTAAGGAAGGCTTAGATGTAAAGCTGTGAAAGCTTCTTAGTAAGATCTAGCAAGTTCTGGAAAGACCCTCAAGGAAGATGCTAGAAGCAGAGCATCTGCAAAATTGCCCAGAGAAGCTGTGGATGCTCCATCCCTGGAAGTGTTCAAGGCCAGGCTGGATGGGGCTTTGGGCAACGTGGGCTAGTGGAGGGTGTCCCTGCCCATGGCAGGGGGGTTGGAACCAGATGGTCTTTAAGGTCACTTGCAACCCAAACCATTCTGTGATTCTGTGATTCTGTGATTCTAAGAAATAAGAATAATAATAAGGTTTCTTGGGTCAGAAGAAGTGCACAGGCAGATGAGAGACTCTGTAGCTTACCTGTTAGCACACATGCTATGCGAAAGGTGAAGGTGAGGTGTGAAAGGTGAAGTTGAGGTAAAAGCTCAAGCCCAACAGCAGGTTGTGCATTTTATAGGAAAAGTTTTTAGGCAATAGTGACTCCTCAGGATTTGCCTGCTCTCCACAGTGTCCTGCCTGGTCTTCAGAGGTATTTTTTTTCCTGAAAAACCTACAAAATTATTTGCAAAGAGATTAGAAATGTGTGCCTTATTGTGAATCTGGAGTTTATGTTGACCCTGGAGGTATTTTCTGGGTGCCAGCATGTTTCTGATACCAAGCAGAGCACAAAGCAGAACCTTAGAGCAGCTCTGGGCTGCACAGCCTTGTAACAGGAAAAAAGTAACAGAAACAGCTGACTTCACCTTTTGCTGTGATTATGTGGGGCAGTCAGCACCAATTTTGAAAACGGCTTGATTTTTTTCCTAAAAATAGCTTTCCAGGTCACTTTTAATCAACTCCAAATGGCCAAGTCTGTGCTTTAGTAATTCTTTTATAAATAAAATTTGACAGGGATACCTTCAAAACCAACAGCCGAGCATTTAAACAAGTTGTCTCAAACTCAGTTCTGAGTCCAGCCTTGTAAATCATTGCCAAATATCACACAGCTTCATGGCCTAATCCTCTGAAGAGATATCTAATGCTGTGTAAATCTGTGTCAGGAGGACAACAGCACCTGTGATGTGTTTCAGGGTGACATTTACGGCACTCTGAAGAAAATGGTAGCCTGCTCAGATCCACAGGCTGGTCTTGAAGGATTTGAACAGAACATCTGCCTTGAGAGAAAGGGGAGTTATAGGACATAAATTCAGGATGAGGGAGGAAGCAAGCAGATGCATGAACCAAGGCAGTTTGAAGACCTTGAGAAGATCTGACTTTCAGTCATTGTGGGTGAATCTAGCAAAGTAGGGTGTTGGGTGCCCTGTATTTGATTAATTTTCTTTCAAATCTCTACGTTCGTTTTACAGATGAATGAGCTTCCCTTGAAGTGTATGAGTGTGCAGATCTTGGTTTCTATCATGGAGCATGCTATCATCGAGCTCTTTTTCTTATACCTCCAGCCTTTCTGGATAGGGACCTCCAAATTTCTGTGGGGTTAAAGCCGTTTTCTGCACTAAACTTTCCACCAAAGACAGAAATATGTACCACAGTGTTACTCCTATCATGATACCTCAATAATGCCAATTATATTACAGTTTTAAGATGACTTAGTTGAATGGCTTTAGTATATAAGTATGCTGAGCATTTGCTTACTGATAGTAGACAGATCCTTCAGCCCTTTCTCCTAATTTGGGCAATATTAAGTCAACGGGGAGAGTGAATGAAAGGAGAAGGCTTTGAACTGTATGTTAACACAACTTCAGAGTACAGGGTGTAAACAAAACTGGTAAGTAATAAGGAAGACAGAAAATGGGTGCTGCCTCACTTTGGAAGCATTTCAAATGAGTTTATGATGGTTTTGAAGTCAAACACAGATTCTCATCTTTAACTGCGAGCACTGACTGAGCAGGATTTAAATGAAAGAAGCATTACTAGTGAATACATGTCAAACCTATGGCATTACTTACTCTAAAATAACTTCTTGGGCATGAACATGTCATGGGTTCAGATCTGCTTTCTCAGAGGTGGAAACAAAGGTTTCACTGGTGATTTTTACCTCCTCAGTGTCTAAGGGTCCTAAGACATCAGACCTTGAATCCCGTCTCCCTGTCTACTGTGATGTTTTTATAGCACAGTCACCACTAAAATGCAGAAGTGTTCATTAAGACCCTCCTTCCACGTCAGCCGCTGGGTCTGTACATGGGAGGTGAGTTTGTGTCACACCTTGTTAAAAAGTGACAAGTTAAAACATGACAGTCAGCCTCTGTGCCACTTCATCGTCTGCAAATCTGGGCTGTCTTCTCCAGGCAGATATCCAGCCCCTTGCATCCAACCCAGACTTGGTGTCTCTGAGATCTCCTGCCCTTGGGCCTGCTGTCACCCATGTGCCACAATAAAGCCATCAATAGGTAAACAATTTAACAAACTGAGCAAGTTTTACAAAGATGCTTGGCTGTGCAGACAGCCCCGGTACATAAATGAATGCATATTCAGGAGAAAGGTTGCTCCATGGAGGACACTAGCTTGTGACTTAGGGGATCAGGCTCATCTTATCCTGCTTTATCGCAAACCTCATGGGTGATGCTGGGCTGGTCAGCTAGCACAGGGCTTCAGAGGAAAAATCATCCTACCCTAAAACGAATAGGAAGATTTTCCACCAGACCGGGCTGTCTTCATGGAGGAGCCTAGAATTTCCTTTTACATTAAGAACTTCTTTTTTTTATGTAGTGTAGAAGAATCCCTGCGTTTAGGGTCAGCTTCTGTCTTTAAAATGGCAATAAAGCACACTCCTTCCAGGTAAGCTTTGCACACTCACATTGGGAACTGCAAGGGAACTGTGATGAGCAGTATGCATAGGTCTCTCTCTCATAAGAAAAAAATATCTTATACTATGTGGCTATTAATTTTGGTTCTTTTTCTTAATACATGCAAATTGGCACAGTGTCTGTGGTGTTGGAGAGCTGTTTGTTCCTGACTCCCTGCTCAGTAAAAATTCAGGCTGTGAACACTGATTTGAGCATGCAAAACCCAATTGCTCCATGTGTTTGTTCATCTGATCCGTAATGTCCGCTGCCATTCAGGTCATCCAGACTCCAGTCCTGTGCCTGGTAGCATCCACATTTCTGACCAGCTGGGCACCACAAAAGCTCTGAGAACATGAAGAGCCACCACCCCCAGCCCCACACCTGCTTTCTCCAGATTTGGAAATAGATAGTTTATTTCAAAGAAATAGTCTTTGCAAGGTATGAACCTCAACGCCGAGCACCTGTCAAGTTTCTTTCTTCCTTAGAGGCTGTGCAGAAACCAGAAAAAGTGAAAAAGTGCAGAATCAGAGAGTCATGCACATCATTCCTTTAGAGTCTATGGTATGAAGTCATGTCTAGCAGCAATCTAGAGGACTTGTTTCTAATCAGTAAGTTTAAGATTGGTAATTGAATGGTAATGCTAAAATCTTTTATCTCTGCTGGAAGTGGTTAGGTCTTACAGGTGCTTTCATCCAGAAAACCCTAAATTATAACACTTAGGTGACTCATCATATTTTCAATAGTGGAAGATACACACACCTTGGGGAGTGTACAGGAAACCTACAGCACAGGCGTCACAGAGTGGTGGTTTTGTAATGGTGATCTCCTTTCTCATCCACTTTGTGCAAGCCAACATTAAGAGGATTTCTGTGTGCTTAGTTAAAAGAAAACCAACATCTTTGAAAGTCTGTATTTCTATAAATTTTGCATTAAAGTGTAAACAAAGGTTTTGTGAGTTGGTAAGAGTTCTGTATATGTGTGGATCTAAAAACGTCCTTTTTTCTGGGTTGGTCTAATTTAATGACTTCCATTTAATGTTTGGGGGTTTTGTCCACTGTTCCAGCTGTTTCCAACAAACCAGCTGTTTCTTTTCAGAAAGGAAAGTCCTAAGAGAAGGAAAATGGCAGGACTGTACTAACCGATTGGATTTTTGCTTTGTGTCTCCATTCAGGTCTCTTTAATAAGCCTCATAGCCAATACACTTGGATACTCCGAGATGGGTCCCATTAAATCCCTCAGGACCCTCCGAGCCCTGCGACCATTAAGAGCATTGTCACGATTCGAAGGGATGAGGGTAAGAATAGCTAAAGCATCGATCAAAGCTCAACTGTGTGACATCAAGCATCTAACAGGGAACAGTTGCACGTGGTTTTGTCTTCATTTGGTCTGCAAAAGGAACTGAATGATAATGCTGTATCAAAACAACAAAATCAGAAATCCCTCCTTTGTCTTATTTGCAATTGTATCATTACAGCTTTATCCTCTGGTGAATTTAATGATAAACTAATCATGCTGCCTAACCTGTCATATTGCACTTTAAAAAACAGCTTTTTGACCAAGGAAGCATCTGGCTAACAATTACCTCTCAATTACAAGGCGTACCAGGGGAATAACCAAGCTACTAGTTTGCTCCCTGCTTTTGACATGTATTAAAATGAGGCTGACTGGGAAAGTTCTTAAGGACTGTTTCACTAATAATTAAAGCAAAAATTAGAAATGCCAAAGATAGGGAAAGCAAATGAGTGAATGTATAAAATCTTTCCTTTGAACAGATTGCAGTTTAAATGTGGAATGTCAGGATTAACATTAAAACCATGTAGCTTGTGTTTGTTGCTCCATCTTGTGCCTCAATCTCTTTCCCTTCTGCATTCCTCTGCCAGCGTGGCTGTACCCACACAGCATACCTGTTTATTTGTTAAGCCTACCTGCTACATTAATCAGTTACTGTCTAGATAGGCACTTTATTTAACTCCTTGCACCATGTATGACATGCAGATGATGACAACTGTGTTCTGTATGAGCCAAGGTTACTGTTAATCTTGCAGATTGCATAGTAAGATGAAGCAAATCTGTGATAAAATTACAGGTAAAGCAACTTACATTGTCTGATGATCCCAAATCTCTCTAGTAGGGCAAGGAAAAGGCTACAGCTTTCATACTGAGGTGTATTCATGGCAAAGCTTTCCTGTAGACAAAATTTTGGTCTGAATGATCAGTGAGTAAAATGTGTAGTTCATGCACTGAGTTCCTACCAATTAACTGTTCTTGTCGCAATACCCTTGCAGTAAAACAGACTGAAGGCTAGAGAGCCTAACGACCGAGGTAACGCAGGAAATATGGTGACATAGCAACTTATGAAAACCCTGTACCCACGCTTTGCCTCTTCTGTGGATGATCAGAATTGGAGATCAATGCCTTTGTCCCACAGACCTTGTGCTTATCTAAATCACATTCTTTTTGAGGATGAAGATGAGACAAATCTAGTTGCAGACCGCTCTCCTCTGTGTTAGTACTAATACAAAAAGATTCAAGAGGCTATATTCATCTGGGCACCCAAACCTGAATTGCTTTGTTCACCGCACTCTTCTCAGCAAACACAGGCAATATTTTAAAGGTTATTCACAAAATAAAACAAAAGCAAACTGCAGATCCTCAGCTGGCACAAGGTGATGTTACACTACTGACGTTAATTAAAGCTCTCGCTCCTATGTCATCTGATGACCTCACTCCAAGTCTTTATTAAACATATGCAAATTGAGCAAATGATGATATCAGCTAAAGCTGCACTAGTTTAACTACCAGAGTGATGTCTGCATGGACTCTCTCAAATCAATTTAAATCGGGCTTATGAAGGCTTAGCTTCTACTGGCCGTTTTGCAAGTTCAAGTGAAACCCCTTTAAGATGTTCTAAGCTGACATGAGAATGTTCACTCATGACTTTGCAGGATTCAAACCTGAAAAGCAGTGGGAAGACTAGCCCAAAGCATCAGACAAGTGAGATTGAAATAGGAAAGAAATAATGTGAAAAGTTCACATCTCTATCGAGAGGCTTTCTGAGAATAGCAAGAGGTTGGCTTGGTGGAAATCCTACATGGCATAGACACACTGATCAGCCCAACAGGTGTTCTTCTTAACATGCTCATATTTGTAGGCTCCCCTGGTCCCTGAATCAACATCCCTTTTCTTCCCTGCACCATTGCTGTGGCTGAAATATATTCAGTCTTTCTGAGCTATCGGGGGTAGTGAATTAGCTTGTAAACTATGATAAAGTGTAATTGAGAATACGTGCTATTGGAAAATCAAATCATTTTATTTTTAGTTTGTCTAACCACACTTAACATGACTAGGGACAGTTAGACTTTTCATTATTAGGAGTTCATATGCTCCAGAATGCACAGGAAAATTACCAGCGCAGTGATGGATTAAATAATGATAATGTTGAGAAGCAAACACTGACGGAAAGAAAATAATAATAGTTTGCTCTATTATAATGTCTTTTTCTTGAATAACTGAAAGATTTCTGTACGGCTAGAGCAGGAACAAGAAAGTTCTCATTTATACTGCAGTAAGAGACTTATTTCATTGATGCTGTACCTAAATTTTGGAAACGATTGCTCCTGAGGCAAAGGCACAGAGCGGCACTTGGATGGCCAAGAGGACCTGTTACCATCAGACTTCAGTTCCTTCCCTGTCTTCAAACAGGCCGGGACCCGTCTGAGTTTGACACACATCTCAGCAGCTCCCATCCTGTGAGAGGTCTGCACAGTAAGGCTGAACTGTTGCCATTTGCCACTCTGTCCCCAAAAAAGACCTCAGTGAGACCAGTATCCCACTTGACAATCACTGCAGACCCTGGAGGTGCTATGCACGTGCCACCACCCTGCGTCACCCACTGCTTTCCCGGCCGTATTAGACCCCAGTGTAAATTAACTTAGGTCTGCGTGTCCTGAACTGTGAAGTCTCCCATGTCTCCTCATTTGTGGTCCATCAGGGAATTATTTCAGAGGTGCCTCTTCCCTTCGAGTTTCTTCCCAGCAAGGGAGGTTATTGCAGTATTTTAAAAGGATGAGTGGGATGATGATAGACCATTTAAAGTGAAAATGATACTAGGCAAAGTCATGGTGAGGCTGCTACAAGATACATGCAGGAAAGAAATAGCATAATTAATGCTAGTTAGCATGATTTCATGGGAATAGTTCTTGTAAAACTGATATGGTCCTTTGATTTGATTACAAATTATGCTGATGACGGTAACTGCACTGATATAATATCCTTAGATTTCAGAGAGGAATCTGATACCACGGGACATAGTGATGAAAACACGAGCTTTGTACCAAGCCAAGTAAACACATTTTAAATTAATTTAAAATGGGTGATGGATCTCGAAAAGTAATTGTAAACAGTGATGACACTGTAAATTTGCTGATGAGTGTCTCAGGGTGAGGGATGCTTCAGCATAAGAACTGTCCTTAATCTGGACTTTAAGAGCATCTGGAAGAAAATATAAAATCTTTGCTGACAACACACAAAGTGAGCAGAGTAGTAAGTGATATTACGCATAAGGGAATTATACTGACTGATCTGGATCACAGTGAGAAACAGATCAATGGTACAACATGCATTTTAATAAAACCACATACATCGTACACCTCGGGAGGAGGAAAGTAGGTCACTCTGGGGGACGTTTCTTGGAAAACAGCATCTGAGAAGGACTTAGGGATCAGGATGACCGTTCAACAGGGCACGAGCTTTTGGGCAGGTCCGATAATGAGGTGACTAACACAATCCCTCAATACACAGGGAAATAATTCAGCAAGCAGAGGGAGAGGGCAGTGCTTCAATACTGGAATTCCACCAAACTGCTGGAAATGGGGTGTTAAAAATGGGAAAGTCTCTGCAGCATGACTAGAAATCTGAAGGAATGATGATAGTTAGAAAGAAGCTCTGGGTTTTTTCTAATTACCCAAAGTAACGTTCAGTGGCAATTCAGCCGCAGTGAAGACTGGGGTGGTAGGAGAAGATGTCTAACAGCAGTTGATTAGTGCCTCAAGTTCAACAAATTCAACCTAAAAATACAGCATCTGTTTGTAACAGTGAGGGCAGAGGACACCAGGAATAGATTATCTAATAAATTTTTTGTCTGTTATTTGAAATCATGATGCTGTAAATTAGATGTCTTTGCAAAAGCTGTGCCCAGGCTTGGGTAGGAGTTAAAGCCTGGGGCTGAAATTGCTTCAGGAAGTCTCGTGGGCTCTGCTGTGGCAAAGGGAGGATTAAGGCATCGTGCAAGTCTGTTTCTGGATTTAAATTCTGAATCAGCTTTGGCTGAGGAGGTGGCCCATGAGATCAGGAGAGCTGGGGGCCAGGCACAGGCTATAGATTTGCATCACTGTGAATTAGGGCAGAGGGTCTCTCAGTTTCTAGCCTATCCCTAAAGAAGTCACCTGGAAGGTGTCATCTCCTATAAAGGTATTGATGGAAATCAAGAGGTATGAAACCTTCTCTTATAAACAGCTATATATGTTTCTGTTCCTAGATGCAACAGAAATTCAGCCCTTTCCATGGCAAGGTTTGCAGCTGAACTTTTAACTTGAATTTATGATAATAATTTGCCTTTATGTATTCAGGTCTGTAAGTCCTCTCACTTGTCTCAGTGCAAATCAGGAGTGCTTCCAGCAAACCAAATGGCATCACGCTGGTGTAAGAACAGAAGCAGTGAGAGAAGAATGAAATCCCCTGTTAATAATTCATTTGAAGAGGTGTTACAGGATTTGCTCCAGCCTCATGTCATGTTTTGTTATCTACAAGCCATTGAACATAATTCAGCAGAAGGAACTAAAAAAAAAACCAAACCACAAACCAGGATGCAGGCACGGCCATGGCTTGCACTGCTGAAACCTGGATGCCTGTGTCCTGTCACAGGGCTCACGGGTTCAGCGGCATATGTACAAAAAGTGCAGTGGCTTTGTGCTGGCATGGATTAAAATTGAACAAAAATATTGTTCCACATAGCAGCAAATGAAAGCTACTTTGACAAGGGCCAAGGCTATATCCAAATAAACCCTTGATTTGGAAATTATTTGGCATTTTGGTTTACCCAGTAAATTTAATCTTAAACCAATGAAGTTAGAAATTGATTAATGACCAAAACTGAAAGACAAAATTAGAAAAAAATTAAAATTGAAAAAACCACCTTGAAAAATCATCAGGAATGGGCCTATACAGGGGGGGAATCGGTCAAGCAGCATTTCCTGTGTGAAAATTAGCTTCATTCATAAATGCACAAAATATAAATCTGGGTTTTGAAATATCCGCATAATTTTGTATTGTGTATTGTATATTTTAGACGAAGCTGCTCTATACGTGCATCAAAAAAAGCCATTTCACTCTTCCGGGTATTTTTCTTCCTCAGCAATGCAAAAATGATGGGGAAACGAATGTTAGATTATTAGCTTGTCAGAAAATTGGACACTAGTATGAGAGAAAACAAGAGCTGACATTTTCCATAATCAGATTCACAATTGAATAAAATTTAATTTTTATGGATCAATATCACCTTGTCTCAGTTTCAGAAATGTAGGTGGAGAAGAGGAAGAGCTTAGTGTCTGCCGACCAGATTTTAATCTCCAAAGCATGAGACAGAGATGGAGACAAATTCATGCAGCGGGGCTGGTGTCTGCAGCAATGCCGTCAGGCAGCTTTGCCGGGGCTCTGCAATGGCAGCATGTCCAAAAGCTGTGAATATGGAGGAACCTTGCTGACATAGGAAGGGGAAAACTACATTTTGTGACAGTGTGCTTCCCTCAGAAAAATGTATGGTTTTACACAGGGGTTTACAGCCCTGCCTGGGTTGGTGTGGAGGAAATCTACAGCATGTCACAGGAAAAAATAATGCATTTTTTTTTGTTAAATTAGTATAGTTTCACTGTTTTAATCATACATACTGAACAGATCGGGGAAGTTGACTTAGTACAGTATGTCTCAATCAGTTATTATTTAAATAACTAAAATTTATCACAGCTAGAGTTCACATCCCAAGGACTATGGAGGCCTGAGTTCAGTAAAAGATTTCAGAAATCTTTTTCAGTCTGTTTTGAGACACTGTGATGTACCCCAGCTGTTTCAAATTGATCATATGATTATTAGATTATTAGTTTGACTGAAGTGTATTATCCAGTAGAATCTGAGAGGACACGATGACTTCACAGATTGCTCCTGAATCAAAAGATTCTTCTTGAAAAAAACATCATCTTATGTGGGATGACAACAGATTAGCTCTTCAATTACAAAAGGAAAAAAAAAAAATCATGTGTGAAGCCTTTAATGGTGGTCTGGCTCCTTAAGTAGTGTTTGTAGTTATCCATCTGTCACCATGTGAGGGTTCAGCCTAGTTAATCAAGGGTGCACTACAGCTTGTTAGCAAAGTGTCTATAGAAGTGCTGACATTAATTCTGTTTTTTCTCTCCTGTTTCACCCAAGGTGGTGGTCAACGCCCTTGTGGGAGCCATCCCTTCCATCATGAACGTTCTGCTCGTCTGCCTCATCTTCTGGCTTATCTTTAGCATCATGGGAGTGAACCTGTTTGCTGGGAAATTTGGGAAGTGCATTAATAAGACAGAAGGAGATATGCCTTTAGACTCTAAAATTATTAACAACATGAGTGACTGTATACTCTATAATGTGTCAGGCACGTTTTACTGGACAAAAGTTAAAGTTAACTTCGATAATGTTGGTGCTGGGTACCTGGCTCTGCTACAAGTGGTAAGTGTGACCATCAGAAACTAAATTAATGGGCAAATGTTGCTTGTTCCCCCTGAAATAATCAGTTTAAAGGCTTGGGTTAATCTCTGTTTTTCTGGGTTTTTCAGCCTTACCTATCAGGGGAATGCCTTTCCTCAAGAGTAAATGACTCTCATTTGGTGTATTAATTTGGCCTAGAGATATTTATGGCAGCTTCTAGTTTTAATCTGAGTTTCTGGTGCATCACTAATGTAGTCCTCTAGGAGGTGATTGGACTATTGAGATGAGTTAAAGACCATTTTTTCAACATTGTAATCCAGAGAAAAGTTCAGTTCCAGAAACAAAAAGTCATGGTCAAGGAAGGATTGTTCATGCAGACAGAGTGCACTGGCCTTCTTGAGCTGCCTGGGTCTTCACTATACCCTGATGGGAAAAAAATGGAGTTTCAGTAGCTTCAGTTACTCAACTGAAGTTACTGCATAAAGCTGGAGTCACAAAGGAATCTTAATTTACAGTCCTCTGCTCACCTTCCATGGAGATGTTCAAGAAGGACACTGGTGCCTCTCATTCTGGTTCCTCACCTCATTTCCACCTGCTAAACATAATGAGTCAGATTGAACCTAGCTATGAAACATGGTGGTGATCAATTTGCTGTGACTCTATGGAGTCTCTTCCATCTCTCTGGGAAGGTGGCAAGAGCATATCAGAGAAGACACTCTGTGAGGTTCAAAAATGGTGGCAATATTTGATCTATAAAGACAAAAGTAAGCCACTTTTTCAGCAGCAAACGTAAAACATGGATAAACGGGTTGCATGTGCAGGGATTTACTGTGTTGTGACACAGCACAGCCTAATGGATAGAGCCATGGGAGACTCCATCTTCTTCTCCAGGCTCTGCCGCTGGACTGCTGAGTGGTTTCAGACAAATTGCCTTGTGTTGCAATTCCATGGGGCCCTCATGTGAAAGAGCGGTAATGATATTTATTTCTGCTGTTCCTAATTTGTCCTGAAGCAAATGTGATGACAAGGGCTGGATACGCACTTGGGGTGTTGTGTTGCATTTCATGTACGCAGAGTGAAGCGAGTCCCTCCCTACATCCGTGGACAGGGAGGTTACTGTCTTGAGGTGCCTGTGATGGCTTTCCTTGCTTCTGGGATAAAAACTTGAATGCTGGGAGCTCAATTCAGTTGTCACATATAGACATCCACCCTTTGCAATGTGATAAGGTACTGCACGAGACTCCCACCCGCCCTTCCAGGAGGGCATGGGCCTCCCACTGGTCCCCCATCAGATCTGTCAGTCCTTCTCCTTCCTGTGATACAAATTTGCTTTCTCCCAGATCTTTTTTCTTTGTCATAGACGCATGAAATAGCTCCATGAAGTAGGTTTCCTTTCTTGTAGAAATGCGTATCCTTATATACTCTGTTCCTGGTACACATACACCTGAGTTTGAGATCTTCTGACCACTGTCCATCGAGTCTTTGCTTTCATACCCTTTGGCAAGCAGAAAGGTCAGAATGGGCACAACCACTTTTGGTTCTTTCCATGACGTAAAACTGAACTTGCTGAGAGCAAGAGCTTTTATCTTTTGCATGTAATTATGACATTCAGCTCACCCATGCAGGGAAGATTAATTCACTTTGAACATCTTTAATTAGATTTTCCATTCTATATAGTAATTTCTTTGTCTTTTATTTAAATATCCAATCTACCTGAGCAAAAATTTCCAGGTTTAAAATATTATGCCTTACCTGAAGCTTCTTATCTCCTGCATGATTGCATAAGGGTTGCCTAGTTTGTTTGGTGAAAAACTCCATCAGAGTAGTTAGTCCTTCACCATTTCTTTTATAAGACTCAAGCTCCAGTTTTCTGAAAATCTGCAACTTTTCATAAATTGGCAGTGCCTAAGGAGTATCCTGAAGCAGTCTGTTCTGCAGTATCAGTTCCTGGGCACTTGGCAGTGGTGATACTGGTTGCATTCAGCAGGTGGGATGGCCTTCTGTTGGGATCAGCGATGGCAGCAAAAACATCACTGGTCGTACGGTGGTTCTCAGCACATTTATAAAGGGACGGTCTTGTTCTGCTGTTTCCCAGCTGAAAATGGACTTGATCACCCTGAAGGTTTCTTTCAAAACTGTGATCCTGTGTTGCATAGCAGGGAAGTAGATTCTCCAGTTGCAGAAGTACAAAAGAAGTGCCGTAAACCTACAGCCTGTGCAGGCTGGACAAACTGATTATGGCAGGAAATGAGGGAGCCCTAAACCCTTGCTCAACCTCTATGGCAGGAGCCAGATGCCATTAGGGGATTTATTTTAACTTTCATCCTGCACTTGGAGCTCTAACGACAGTCTTAAGCACTAAAGTGTAAAGATGACACCCACAGAGAAGGGGTCCAAACATCTGGATCTCCTTTGCCAGACTCCAGCCGAGGAGTGTCGGTTACAGGTGCTCCTTGCCAAATATCCTCCATGTGGAGTCACATTTCATGAGCAAACTACTGTAGGAATTGCAGGGGATCGGTTAACAGCTCAGCTCTCCTAAAGAGACAGACACATCGATGCATCTTTGTGCATGCTGAGACAGTGAGTAGCAATGATGAGATAAGCATTTTGGTTACAACCCTCTGGGATCCAAAATATGAGCTTTTAAGTGGGACTCATCTTTTGACTGTTGACATTTTCAGCTGCCGCAACACACTCTTTAAATGACTCTGAAGTTACCTTTGGATGTCTGGATGTGTCTGAAAATCAGAATGGAAATATGTAAAACAAATCTGTCTGCCTAATGTTCTGTCTTCACTTCTACAGCATCCTTGAAAGAAATGAGAAGTTGCTACTATGAAAACTTTAAGACTCACTACTCTCCAGAGGCAAACTTTCTGACAATATAGTGGAGAACTGCGTGAAACTTTCCACAAATATCCTTTCCTTTTTTCCTACCTTGCTTATGATCCATCATGTCGTTCTGGAGATGCCACTTTGAATTAATGAGTCAGAAAACGTTCATGTGAGGTGGTCAGTCAAGTTTCAAGCTTCTCCGCTAAAAAATGCGCTGTCTCACAACAGATTCCTAAAATAGGAGTTAGTCGCTGCTTACTCTACAAGCAAGAAAAATGCTTCATTCATGGAGAGGAAAAGATCTTTATTATCACAACTTTTTAATTTGCAAGAAGGATGGTTCACTCTTCAAGGGATTTAACACCCTTAACACCCTAATCTATTAGGAAAAAATTATTGCTACAACCCAGTGCTTCAGTAATGCTTTTTCTGTATTTCCAGAATTGGTTTGCAGATCACAGTACCTATGTTCTATAAATCTGTATTTGAGCTTAACAAAGAAATAGCTTAAATTTCCAGTAGGAGTTTTGCATTTCCCTTGCAGAATCCTTCCCTTCGCATTATGATCACCTCCACATTGTTTTGTTTTGTTTTGTTTTTGCTTTTTGCAACGTATCTTGAAATTTCAGCGATCTATTGAAGAACACCAAGAAAACAAGTGGTCTCTCACACCGCATCTGGCTTGCTTGGAAAAGTTCTCCTTTGACAAGAACAGACTTACATCTAATATGTCCTACAACTCTTTGTCACTCTGGGGCACAGATAAGGAATGGGAAGATAACAGAAGCACTCCTAGACCAGTACGGCAATCAGGAGCTGTAGAGTTAAATCAACCCCTCATGCCAGGTTCAAAGTCACAACGGAGCTCATAAATCAGCTACAAAATGGTCATGAGACAGCAGCATGTGTCTAAAGTTACTGAGTTACACGATGTCTTGCACTTCTGTAAACTGTAACACTAGATTTTACTTTCACTGTGGATGCAAAATGTGCAAAAAAAAAAATATCAGTGTGCTTCTGAACAAACCATAAATTTGTGTGCCAGGGTAGATTTCTCCATGATCAGGAGTAAGTCCAAAGATCAGGAGTAAGCAGTATTTCCACGAGGAATTACTGGTGGAAGTTCGAGGCGAGCAGAGGCAGTGCCCTTGGAGCCCGTGTAGCCCAGCGCAGCACAGACCTCTGGGGTGTTCTGGTGGGTCCAACGCTCGGTGGTGCCCTCCCCAGCAAATCGTCTTAACGCAAAAAAAAAAAAAAAATAAATGTTTGGTATAAATTTGCTGCTATGGTGAAATTGAACAAACTGAAAAATTCAGCAGAAAAGCCAGGAGATAGTGGAGCTGGCATAGCCAGCTGAAATATGTGTTTGACTGTACTGTTGGTGGCTCTGTTTTAGCTTTAGGAAGTTTCTCTCACCAATAGTAATACTTAAAGAAGCATTTCAGAAATGTGAAGACCAGTAGTTGTGCTGTCAACAACAGCCATTTTTATGCTCTATTGCTGTCCTTTTCACAAAAAAAAAAAAAAAAAAAAAAAATCCCCCTCGCAGATTTAGAGGCGTGTTTTATTTTAAGGCACCATTTGGTTATACAATAAATGGTTTGAGGGCAGCTAGTGCCATCCCACCTATCCTCCTCCCTACTAATTTACTGCATTGCAGCTCTAACCACCAGTCAAATAACAAAATGTAATCCCATCCCAAGATGAGTTTATCGGTAGATAATCTCATCACATGACAGTTTCAGTAGAAAATGGTGTTTCTCTGGATAGCTTCCAGGTAGGATAATATCACAAACACTGCCATGAAGATTTTGTCACTTCCTTATCCAGAGTGTAAGTGGTTACTAATTCCAGATAAATAATTTCTTTCCCCAGTGTTATATTTCTTTCATTCTCAGTATCTTTTACCCTCTGCAGATGAAGTGTCTAGGGAAGCTTTCCAGAAGCACTGTGGATTTTTAATTCTCTTACTTCTGGACAACTGGGAAAAAGAGAAAATCACAGTACTTCATTCTCTTAATATTTATTTTTGTCAGATCACTTCATCATCTGTTATCACTGTAAACCGCCATACCTTGCAGTAGAGTCTCTTGTGACTGTGGTACACATCGAGTGGTAAAATAGCTACTCAAGAGAAAATATTTCCTCCCCAGTGGGAGAAAAGTACAGCCTAAGATCGTATCATTTTTTGCCACAGGGAAAGGATTTCTTGTTTCATCCTGTCCACTCTTCCTGAACGTCACTTTGAGCTGGAAGCTGCAAGTCACTATAATGACACCAGAAAATCTTTCATCAGATTAGAAAGAGAACAGCATAAAAAGTAAAATATTAGAACAGTTAAGGAGGATCAGCATGACAGGTTCAAATAATTATTGGTTTCAATAAAACTGCTGATCATTCCTGTAAGCACTTTACATCTAAAGTGTTTTTTACACACAGTACCGTGGAATAGATTTTCGAAAGGGTTCTGATTTGGGGGGTTTAATCTCTTTCAACCAGTAGATAAAAATGAATGCAACATTTCAAACATTACTTTATATACACTTTCATGAGAAATATGGTTTACCTTTTGTACAACATTCTCCTTTGGCTCAGCAGTCTTCAGAGGGAAATAAGAAGGCAGCGTTACCTCCAGGATTTAGTTTAATAACAGAGAGCGTATAATGGAGCGTTTCTAAAACTGCTGGATCTACCTAGCTCAACAAAAATGCCTGGGTTTCTCTTGGGAACCACTGACCAAATTCCTATTAACGTTATCTGGGATTGTGTGCCTACATACCAGGAGAAAATTCAACCTAAGTGTCCGTAGGATGCAAAAAAATATTGGACGTGGGTCTTTGATGCATGCTAGTGTAAATCTGATTAAACGAATAAATCTAAAAATGCCTCATCATCTGCTCATGCTGATTTTAAATCCAGGGTAATTCTAAATGGGCCAGAAGTCAAATGAGAAACAGCCCCAGAGACCTAATACAAAGGCAATGTGGCTTAGGGCAGAGTCAGACCCAACACGAGGTACATTTGGCATCAGGCTGTGTCTAATGAGAGGCATATATTGAGAGCAAAGAGCCAGGTTTTTGCTACAGAATAGTAAAAATCACTTCTACGTGTTTCTCCTAGGAGTGTTGTCATTGCCCTTTCTCCATTGCAGGTTCCAGTAAGAGACACTGACTTCTCTGGAATCCTTCCTTGTTTAAACAATTTAAAAAAAAATAATATTTAAAACCCCTGATCTAAAAAAAAAAAAAACAAAAACAAAAACAAAAACTGAACAGTAAAGCAAATCTAGTTTCCAGGGCCAGGCTCACATCAGGTGTTGATTGCCTTTGCTCCTTTCAAGTCAGCTGTGATTTACGTGACTCCCTGGGTTTTAACAGGGCCTTGATTTACCCTGTTGTAACAGAGGGCAGAATCCAAGCTTCAGTGGGATCCTGCAATGTAGTCACTGCCCATCAGGCTGAACAAGGAATATGGATGGGATCCATCTCACCTGGTCCGAGATTTGTGCAGGACGGCACTCTGAGTTGTCCTTCGTAGCCGTATCTCTTCATTACTTGAAATACTTAAGGTCAAAACTTCCAAAGATTCAATTGCCATGTTTTCTCACCTTTTAAAAATATCTTTTAAAAACATCTGGTTTATCCCTACTAGTGCAGCAAATCAAAAAACATGAGTGAGAGGATCCAGGAGAAAACCATTATGGAATGATTTTAAAATATCTAAGTGAACATAAACACATGGATAGAATTCCTTTAAAGAAGAGACATGCTCAACATTGCATTTTTGAAAACTCATCACAGAGATGATATCATTTCAAGATATGCTTATTTAATATGCTTAATTATGTATTTTGTGGGGTTTTTTTCAGGCCACGTTTAAAGGTTGGATGGATATTATGTACGCAGCAGTGGATTCACGAGAGGTATGTCACTACAAGGAAATGAATCATTTCCTTTTCCATGGACTTTTGTAGCATTCATGGTGTTTAACAGCAACAAAATACATGCAGGTTGCCAGTCCCTGTATTACTCTGGTTGAGACAGCTGCAGACCTTCAATTTTGCAGCTGCTACTGAAGCATCATGACCCTGAGATTAAAACTGATGTAGCCCTGAGTTCTACACAACTGATTTATTTATTCGTACTGCAAAACTCCCAGCACAGTCAGGCACCTCCAGAGTGAGATAGAATCTACCAAGAACCTAAATTTTCCTTTCTATTTCTTCCACTCTCCCTGTTGACTGCCATATTTTCCAAGGATCTAACTTCTGATAATGGAACGCCTTTAAAAGCGCTGGGTTTAAATTACATTCCCCTGTAACCCACATACTCAATCCTCCCTATATCTTCACCTTGAGCAAGTGTCTTCTCTGCAACCAGCAGCTCCACTCAAGGTGGAAGGAGGAGCT